TTCTACCATATCCATAGTAAAAAGACGGAACCATTCAGTAGGTCCGCAAAACGCAACATCCCAACAATAGGGAAGATTAAACAGAAGGAGGAAGAAGAAGAAAAAATACAACAGATTAAATCGTCACAATATATATATATCGTCACAAATATATATATCGTCACAAACAGAACTGCCCGGTAAACCGTAGGCAGAGAGAGAGACGAGGACAACAAACGAGGGGCTGTGGCAGACTGTTTCGTCGGAGTTTCACCGACTCATCAGGAGGCTTTTCGGTTTTTTATTTTTAGCTCATGATTGGCTACGAATTTGAACATGAGCCAAGGCAAAAGTTCCTTGTATTGTTATTTTACATACCATATATTTTTTCCAGATTTTTCTGAGAACTTCTTTTTTTTTTTTTTAATGTTCGCGTTCGGAGGGTTTGGGGCGCTTGTTCGCGTTCGGGCAAATATGTTCGCGTTCGCCTCCGAAGGCAAACACGGTGCTACGTAGGGGGAATTTTCATTCTCTTTTTCGCACATTTGGTGAGCTGTAGGAGGCCCGCCGGCACAAATCCCAAACCAACAAAAAAGAAAAACCGTTCGAAAACGCAAAAAAAAAAAAACGACAAAACAAAAAAACCAACAAAAATGAAACGGCCCTGACATACTCGTTCACGAAACCTTGCTATTGATATGTGAGGGACGCCGGACGCGTTTTCCGGCTTGTATAATCAAAAAAGGCAACCGTGGTATGAAGCAGGCCACCGGAGTGCCTGGAACATGCTACGATGGTTGCCCTTTCAAAAAAAAAACTGGCCCTGACATAGTGGGCCTTGCGGCGCCAGTTAAAGAAAAAAAGAGAGAAACAATTCAAATGAAACTTCCCTAAGAAGAAGACCGAAAGATGCACGGACGCAATTTTTGTTCTTTTTTAATAGGGTCCAACGTGTGCCGCAGCCCATCATTATGTTGCTTTCCGCCGATTGGAATCGTCTCACGCAGCCAGTACTTTTCCATGGCTGATGCGTTCCGAGTCGGGTTTTTCGGCATGTCGTTGATAGACGCCGGAAATCGTGCGGCAGCTTATCCGATGGCCCATCTCACAGATGCGCCCAATCCAGTCGTGATGGGTCGCAACGTTGCATTACACTCGACCGGAAGCACTTTAATAGAAGGTAGTAAACAATAAAAATATTAAAAAAATAATAGCAATAATTATAACAACAAGAAAAAACAAAGTGGTGTCTTCGAACTCACCTGTGCAAAGTCCGAGATCCCAACCGTCCCGATCTTATCGTCGATGGAGACATATTCATGGGACTTAAGGAACTTGCAGTCCGCCTCAGTAACTGCAGGGGTACAAAACACAGACCCCAATTTCACATCCGTTAATCAACACTGAGGGTCCACAATTTTGAATTTTACATCCACTCATCTTCCTATTGTTTGGCCCTTCAATTTTGAGAGGATCCACAATTTCACACCCATTCATCAAATTTGTTTATAATACTTTATATACTGTGTCCGAAAACGGATTCAACCGGGGTCCGCGTTGAATGATTCAACCCGCATTGAATTTCCAGTTGATTTGGCGTTTAAACGGCGAAGCAACGGGTTTCACAGGGACCTGCGATGAATTTTTTTCGTGGGCTAAAAATTAACAAAAAAAAACAAAAACAGAAAATATGGGATTGGAGATCTCTTTGAGGTCTACACCCTCATATTTTTATTTTTATCTTTTTAGCTTCGACGATATTTTTTAAAAATAGAAAACATAAACACAATGAAAAAAATCAAAAACAAAAGATGAAATGAGTGTTTTTATGGGGGGGTGTCACAGATATTTTTTTAGGGCTAAAAGAAAAGCAGAAAAACAAATAAAAACTGTACGGTTATAGATCTTTCAAAGATGCACAACAAGAAAAAAGAAAAAAAAAAAAGGAAAAAAAGACATGCACACACACACACACGAACATGCACAAGACACACAAACACAAACACCCAAACACCCAAACACCCAAACACCCACACACATGGGCACACACACACACACACACACTAACAATCGTGCACACACACACACACACACTTACACACACACATACACAAACACATGCGCACACCCACATATTCATGCACATACACACTGTCACACACAGGCACACACATATGCACATACGCGCACACACA